TTACACATGTTTGCTGCTACAGGTAAGCCCAAACTCAACCCTAAACCCTATAAACCTTGAACCCTAGCCCGCGCAAGACAGCGACTCAAGTGGTTCGAGACGCCGTAAAGCCAGCCCTGGGGCCCATGGCCATAGCTAGGTTTAGGGGTTTAGGGTCTACAGGCTTAAGGGTGTTAGGCTATAGGGTATCATAGATCCCATAGCTAGACGGTATTGAACTTATACCCGTAGCCTACCCATAGTTATCTCCACTATCACCCAGCTGCATCCCGGACCTAATAACCCGGGGGGCCACCCCCTGCAGAAGCCTGAGTAGCCATACAGTCGGTTCCTTTTTGTCAGGCAATATAACTTTATGTGGGATTAGAGAACAGTAACGCATTATATTAGGTACCCCAGTAGTGCCCTTCTCCCCTTTTATTTTGGGGTCTTCTTATGAAAGCTACCCATCAGGAAAAAGGGTACCTTTATTCTTATGGGGCTACAGGCGAAACTAGAATATAGGTACCTGGGCTTGTAAGGGTTGGAAACTGAGGGTTTACAAACTTCAGGGGTTGAGGATTTAGGATTCGGGTCGGTTCAGGGCTTGAGGACTTTGGGTTCAGGGTCCGGGGTTGACGCTTGGGGTTTAAGATATGTCGTCTGAGCAATTAAGTAGATAGAATATGGCTTTGGGTATACTATAACAAGATTCCCATATACCCCATATTCTATCTACTTAAAGGGAACTATACAGGGTTTAGGGGTTAAGGGTCAGGGTGTGGCCGTTGGTCTGCACAGGCTCTCAGTTAGTCCACAACAGGGGCAGCGAGCCACTTTATAGTCCCCCTTAAGAAGATAGAATATGGGTTAATATTAGGGTTATATTGGGGTTCTATGGGGATAGTGGAAAAGAAAATGGAAATCACTATAATGAGTTTTTTAGGGTATAGAATATGGGGTATATGGGGACATTATAACATACCCAAAGCCATACTCTATCTACTTAAGGGGGACTATACCTTAAACCCTTAACCTTAAATAATAGTTTCCATTTTCTTTTCCATTATCCCTATATAGCCCATATATAACCCCATAGATCAACCAAAACCAAAACGGCTCAGGTTCCAATCGTGCTCTACATCCTTTTGTGGCTGCACGACCACTTGGCAAAGCCCAGGTCCATCATCAAGAATGTACAGCGCAGGACGCCCACGCTAAACCCATTAACCCTAAACCCTGGACCCTAAACCACATTATGTGGGTTATAGGGACTTATCTCCCTCATCTTGCAGTGAGGGGACTAGAGTTTTTTGCAGCCCCAAACTCATCAACCCTAAAACTTAAAACCTCAAACCTGAATCCTACATTTTGGGCTGGTAGTGCTCCTTAGGTGGATCCAGCAAAGCTTTTGTACTGCATGAGTTTGGGCATTCCCTCCAAGATTGTGTAGGACGACTTTTCAACCTTCTAAATTATTCCCTACATCTAATTGGTTCTGATGGGATGCTCACCAGAAATCCTCTTGCAGCCCAATGTAGGTAGGTAATAGTTACAGACTTCAGGGCCCAATGTAGGTAATATTTGTATACTTGGATCCCTAGGGACATAAGGTCCTAAAACTGCGGGTATTTTAGGTCTAAGGTGCGCCCTTGGCGTTAGACTCTCTCGCTCGACTTCAACCTTAGCAGCATTCAGCCTGACGTGATGCCAGGAGGCAGTACCCTCACAGTAGCAACCCTAAAGCCTGAGCGATAATTAACCCAGAAAGTCCAAGATTCCTTACTAAGGGAATATACCCTAAATTCAACTAGGGTCCCTAATATGATTTAAGCTATATCCCCAAATTGGACTTTCTGGGTAAGCTGTGTCATCAAGGCCTTGAAGGTAGCAGCGTCTAAGCCTGGATGATTAGGAAGACCTTTCCTTATAGGTCTTATGTATTTTTCTTTTAATCCCCACGGGGTCTTCCCCGATACCCCTCAATGTCAGAATACTCCCCACATTCCCAAAGGGTCCATGTAGCTATATGGTATATACATGGGCGCTCTCGTCACTAGTCATTACATATGAGAGTCTCTTTGGCTAAGTAAATACTATATGACTACATAGGCCCTTTGTGACCGTGCTAGGGAGTTTCTTTGGCCCTAAGTTAATACTATAGAACTAAATAGGCTCTTTAGGATTGTGTTAGACCCTCAACCCTAAACCCTA